GGCTTTGCGGGGGAGCAAAAATAAGTTTCCTGTACCCTTGTAGATTGTTGCCTGTGACCGTCTGTTGTAAAAGACAGACTAGTAGGAGAAAGCAAACAAGTTTAATAATGTGTTTACCTTCTGTATACATTAGTGACCCAGAAAAACTCCTTTAAATACCGAAGCTACAGTGTTAAATAACATCTTCAGATCAAGACAAAAGAAGATATTGGAAAAGAGGGTGAGCGGTTACAAGAAGTTACCAAGAAAAGCACAGTAAACAAGAGTAAAATTGTTATGCAGATTTAAGTCATTACCTTGGGCTTCTCCAGTGGCTCTGATGGTGAAGAATCTGCCTGCAGTGCAGAAGACCTGGATTCGATCCCTGGGTAGGGAAGACACCCCTGGGAAAGGGAATGGCCGCTCACTCCAGCATTCTTGCCTGGAGAATTCCATGGATAGAGGAACCTTTCAGGCTGCAGTCTATAGTGTCACAAAGAATCGGACACAACTGAACGACTAACACTTTCAGGGCTTCCCTCTGGCTCAGACAGTGAACAATTTACTTGCTACGCATGAGAACCGGGTTTGACCTCTGGGTTGGGAAGATCTCCTGAAGAAGTAAATGTCTTCCCAGTCGAGTATTCTTGCCTGGAAAATCCCACGTTCAGTAAAGAGCCTGTCAAACTGCAGTCCATTAGGGTCACAAAGAATCGGACGTGACTGAGAGATTAACACTTTCTGGTAAAAAGAGGGGAACATGCTTACAAATGGAGTTTTTCCTCATAAATGTAAATATCTTTAACAAAAGGGTAACTTCTACTCAAATTTTCAAAGTTTTTCCTATTCTGTTTCTTAAGAATTATCAGCCTAAAATACTTCTTATACCAAAGAGATATATTTTAGGGTGGTATATTCTCTTCAGCTTAAGTCTTTTGAAAGTTAAGATTTACTGTTATTTGAAATTTTAGTTTTTCTTCTTTTTTTAACTGAAGTCTGGTTGCTGCACAATATTATGTAAGTTATGGGTGTACATTATAGTGACTGGCAATTTTTAAAGGTTATATTCTGTTTATAAAGTATTGGCTATATTCTCCATGTTATACAATATATTCTTGTAGCTTTTTTGTACCTAAGGCATTATACCTCTTACTCCCCTACCCAGTATTGCCTCCCCCTCTTCTCACTGGTAACCACACATTTGTTCTCTATATCTGTGAATCTGCTTCTGTTAGATTATATTCACTCATTTGTTGTATGTTTTAGATTCCACATGTAAGTGATATCATACAATTGTCTTCTGACTTATTTCACTTTGCATAATGATCTCCAATTCCATCCATATTGCTGTAGATGACAAAATTGCTCTCTTTTTATGGCAGAGTTGTATTCTATCTTCTTTATCTATTCACCCATTAATAGACACTTAGGTTGTTTCTATATATCTTGGCAATTGCAAATAATGCATGTTATGAATATTGGGGTGCATGTATGTTTTCAAATTAGTGTTTTTGTTTTCTATGGATATGCACCCAGGAGTGGAATTGGATCACACAGTAGTTCTATTTTTAGTTTTTTGAGAAGCCTTTATACTGTTTTTTTTTTTTTTTTCTTACCGTGACTGCAACAATTTAACATTCTCACCAACAGGGTAAGAGGGCTTTCTTTTCTCCACATCCTCATCAACATTTGTTATCTGTGTTCTTTTTGATGATAATCATTCTGACAGGTGTGAGGTGATCTCTGTGTGTGATTTGCATTCCATGATAATTAGTGTTGTTGAGCATCTTTTTATGTGCCTATTGGCCATCTACATTTCCTCTTTGGAAAAAATGTGTGTTTGTTATTTAAGCCCACTTTTTAATCACGTTGTTTTTTGATGTTGAGTTGTTTGAGCTGTTAAACATGTTGGATATTAATCCCTTAATAGTCATATGATTTGTAAATATTATCTCCCACCAAGTCGATTGTCTTTTCACTTTTGCCCTTGCTGGGCCAAAGCTTTTAAGTTCAGTAAGGTCTCATTAGTTTATTTTTGGTTTTATTTCCTTTGCCTTAGCAGACATATCCAAAACAATATTTCTTCAGTTTATGTCAACTGTGTTCTGACTTTGATCTCCTTTAGAAGTTTTATGGCTTCCAGTCTTACATTTGGGTCTTTAATCCATTTTGAGTTTATTTTTGTATTTGGTGTCAAGAGATGTTCTAATTTTGTTCTTTTACATGTAGCTGTCTAGTTTTCCCAGCACCATTTATTGAAGCAACTGTCTTTTCTCTCTTGTATAGTCTTACCTCCTTTGTCATAGGTTAATTGAACGTAAGAGTATGAGTTTATTTCTAGGCTCTCCATCCTGTTGGGTTGATCTGTCATTTGCTTTTGTGTAGCACACTATTGTTTCGGTTACTGTAAGTTTGTAGTATAGTCTGAGTCAGGGATCATGATTTCTTACCTCTGTTCTTCTTCGTCAAGATTGTTTTGGCCAGTCAGAATCTTTTGTGTTTCCATGCAAATTTTAAAATTATTTGTTCTCGGCCTATGAAGAATGCCACTGGCATTTTGATAGGGATTGCATTGAATCTGTAGATTGTCTTGAGTAGTATGGTGATTTTAATAATATTGATTCTTCCAATCCAGCTTCATAGTATATCTTTCTATATATTCATGTCTTCAGTTTCTTTCCTCGGTGTCATATAGTTTTTAGGATGCAGGTATTTTTCTTTATTCCTATTTTATTATTTTTGATATAATGGTCAGTATTTCAGTCACTCAGTCATGTACAACTCTTTGCAACCCCATGGACCACAGCACGCCAGGCTTCCCTGTCCATCGCCAACTTCTGGAGCTTGCTCAAACTCATGCCCTCTTTTTCACTCTCCTCTTTCACTTTCATCGAGAGGCTCGTTAGTTCTTCTTCACTTTCTGCCATAAGGGTGGTGTCATCTGCATATCTGAGGTTATTGATATTTCCCCAGGCAATCCTGATTCCAGCTTGTGAATCTTCCAGCCCAGTGTCTCTCATGATGTACTCTGCATGTAAGTTAAATAAGCAGGGTGACAATATACAGCCTTGACGGACTCCTTTCCCGATTTGGAACCAGTCTGTTGTTCCATGTCCAGTTCTCACTGTTGCTTGCTGACCCGCATACAGATTTCTCAGGAGGTAGGTCAGGTGGTCTGGTATTCCTATCTCTTTAAGAATTTTCCAGAGCTTGTTGTGGTCCACACAATCAAAGGCTTTGGCATAGTCAATAAAGCAGAAATAGAGGTTTTTCTGGAACTCTCTTGCTTTTTTGACGACCCAGCGGATGTTGGCAATTTGATCTCTGGTTCCTAATGGTAAATGGGATTGTTTCCTTAGTTTCTTTTTCTGATACTTTGTTTTTAGTGTATAGAAATGTAACAGATTTCTGTATATTACTTTTATCTCTGGCAGCTTTACCAAATTCATCAATGAATCCTGGTAGTTTTCTGGTGGCATCTTTAGGATTTTCTATATATAGTATCATGTCATTTACAAACAGTGACAGTTTTATTACTTTTCCAATTTGAACTCCTGTTATTTATTTTTCTTCTCTGATTGCTGTGGCCAGGACTTCCAAAAGTATGTTGAATAAAAGTGGCAAGAATGCCTGATCTTAGAGGAAGTGCTGTAAGCTTTTCAGTGTTGAATGTGATGTTAGCCATGGGTTTGCCATGTATGACCTTTATTGGGTTGAAGTATGTTTTCTGTATGGCTAGTTTTTGAGGATTTTTTATCGTAAATGGATGTTGAGTTTTGTTCAACCCAAAATAGATCAACACATCTATTGTGTTGATCACATGGTTTTTATTCTTCAGCTTGTTAATGTGGTGTATCACATTGATTTTTGTGGATATTGAAGCACCCTTGGGATGAATCCTACCTAAATATTCAAAAACTCGTGACTAACTCTTTTGTCAGCAAATTATCAGTTTTAAATGTTCCATGTGATCTTGAAAGAATAAGTTTTGTATATTTGTTTGGTGCTGTGTTCTGTTGTGGGGCTTCTCATGTAGCGCAGTGGTAAAGAATCAGCCTGCCAATGCAGGAGATGCAAGAGAGCTAGGTTCAATCCCCGAGTCGGGAAGGAGGAGGAAATGGCAACCTACTCCAGTGTTCTTGTCTGGAAAATTCCATGGACAGAGGAGCCTGGTGGGCTACAGTCCATGGAGTTGCAAAGAGTCGGACACGAGTGAGAGACCGAGCACACATCTGCACACAGGTTCTATTGTGGGCTTCTTAGGTGTTGTGGTAAAGAATCCGCCTTCCAGTCCTGGAGATGAGGGGATATGCGTGTTCAATCCCTGGGCTGGGAAGATCCCCTGGAGGAGTAAATGGCAGCCCACTCCAGTATTCTTGCCTGGATAATCCCATAGACAGTGAAGCCTGGTAGGCTGCAGTCTGTGGGGTCAAAGGGTTGGATATGACTGAGTGACTGAGTATGCATGCATGCATGTTCTATTGTGTATTGCTTTTCTTGCTTCAAATAAAAATATTACCTTGTAGTTTCTGACAATCCTTGGCTCTTCTGGACCTTCTTTTCCATTGTGTCTTGCCTATTCCTGTTTAATTTGGATGCTTTGTCTTGCAGTTTCTCCTCTGTCCTGAAAGAGAATTTCAGCAGTTTTTAACTTCTAAAGAAGTATAGTTTAGCCTTATCTCTCCAACTCTTTTCACTTCTGGTAGCAGGAATAAAAAAATAAATGTGGAAAATACTTTTTCTTGACTTCTAAGAATCTGAAGAGCAAGCCCAGAGAGACTGAGAATTAAAACTTTCATAATCAGAAAAATTTGTTCTTTATAGCTGTTCTTTTCCCCATTGGTAGTAATTATTTGACTTAGGTGATAGTATATCTAAATTTTAAAATGATGTCTTCAGATTGATTTATTTTGAACAGCAGTGGAGACTAACAGTTTTGCGTTGGATATATCAAATAATATCTACTTTATTTCTGTCTTTCAAAGTTGAACATTACAAATTGGTTTTTCTTTTTGTTTCAGACCAAAGACTAAATGAAATGCTTAGGCGGTGTCAAATGGAAAATTTTTTGAAATATTCAACCGTACAGGTATGTAAATTAAGTTGGGGTCTAACAAATTAAGTTCAAATTTTGTTGTAAATATATCTGTATTTGACAAGTGTAGAATAAATGCTACTTGTGATTATTCCATGTGAAGTTGCCTATAGCACTTGAAAATTTTTCTTACAACTCTGATTCTTGTAAGGAAGCAAAATTGTTTTTGTTTAATGACTATAAATTCTTTGACCATAGAAATTTCCATTTTCCCCACCAGAGTTGGAGCTTATAATATATGGATATGGTGTTAAAATGTCAGAATTGTAAAATGAGAATTCAGTAGACTTTTGAAACATCTTAAAATTGTTTTTAGGATACATCCAGTTGTAAACTTTAACTCTCAATTCTCATAAATTTGACAGAAGCATGAACTAACTCAGAATAAGAAATAATACATGGCATTATTTTAATTTGTTTCTTGGGTATACATTTTTATTTAAATATTGTATTAATTTTTTTTGACCAATAAAATATACTCACTGGTACAGTCTGAGTTATAGGATATTAAAAGAAAAATAGCTCCTAGGTTAAATGGTTGCTCTATACTGAATCAGTAAAGAAATATTTTGCTTTTGACATAAATAAATTTTATAATTAAAACTGCAATTGCTTTTAATATATTAAAAGGAAGTTGTTTTTTTAAGATACTAGGTGATAGAAAATCTCATAATCCACTAACCTCTAAATTTTGCTCAGATTCTTAGGTTCTTTTGCTTCTGCTTGATGTCATATGGAAATAATCTCTGAAGGGAGGATTCAAACAAAAGATTGGTTTTAAAGCTTGAGTAAACCTCTGAGTATGGAATTGCATCCTGTCTTCTGGAATCTGTGGCTGACTTGATTACGAAAGATGGTTTTACCAAATAAAATGCTGACTCTAGATAGCTCTTTATGTGCACCTGCACTGTGTACTGTTGATTTTTTTTTGCTTGTTTTGGCTGCGCTGGTCTTCATTGCTCTGCAAGGGCTTTCTCTAGTTGTGGTGAGCGGGAGCTGCTCTTTGTTGCTATATGTGGTCTTCTCAAGGCAGTGGCTTCTCATTGCAAAGCACAGGCTTTAGGCGTTTAAGCTTCAGTATTGCAGCGTGTGGGCTCAGGAGTTGTGATGTGCGGGCCCTAGAGCTGGCAGCTTTCTGCAGTTGTGGCACACGGGTTCAGTTGCTTGTGCATTAGCAGGCAGATTTTGATTCACTCTGTCACCATGGAAGTCTACATATCCTGTGATTATATAATTAAAGCTGACAGTAACATACTAAGTAGGGACAAGTTTTCCCTTACTTAATAGAGTACTCTTTGGTGAAATTATGTAGCTCCTTTAATTCTTTGAAGGTGCATGTCCTTCTCTTGTTGGGGTCCTTTAATGGACCAGAACCTGGTGGTACGGAGTCGACGATAAGAAAGTAAAAGAGAAAGAGGCTGATATTCCCTGGTTTACGCAGAGGACCAATAAATGCAATCCCTTGACACAGGACTTGCATCACTCATGAAGGCACCAGGCGCCCTCTCTCGAGGGGGTGAAGGCATAAAGTGCCTTCTCGAGACGGTCTTAGAAGCCTGGGCAGGAAAGTGAGCAATGACAGGTCTCCACGCTCCAGAGAATCAGCCAGAAAAAGAGAGAGAGAGAGAGAGAAACAAAAAAAGACCCGGGGATCTAAGCTCTGATGGAGCAAAGGTGCTTTAATGATTTTTCTATGAGTATATATAGGCTGTGGTACAAGAAACTTGTTTCGGGAATGATAGAAATCAGAAAACCAAATGTACAACAACCGTTACCAAGGGAACAAGGGGTAATGTTAGTCACAGGTCAGGACACATTCCATATCTCAAGAAAGGGGAACAAGACTAAGCAGTTTTGTCCTAAAGAGAATGTTTACTAAAGGAGACCCAAGCCTGCCTCACACAATGACCTCAGTCCCTGGGAGCAGCGTGCTGTTGGCGCTTGAAGAGGGACAGAGGACTCATGGAAGACGGCACGTAGGAATCCTCCCATCAAACATTCCCTGACACTCTTATATGTGCTATTCTTGTCAGTCTTACAGTCAGATCTTGATTTTTATTTCTCATTTTTCATATTAGTATATTGTTACTGCCTAAGATTGCTTTGCACAGTATGCCTTCTCTTCAGAATATGTTGCTGTCTCAAGACTCCAGTCCCCATGGGTCTTGCCTTTCACTACATACTTTGTATTAGTGAGTGGGAGGTGATAGGGAGCTTGAGAGGGAGTTTAATTTGCTTTCTAGCATAAAGGTCCATAACCTTGGCCATATGCAGTGCACCTTTGGGGATTTTTCACCCCAGAAGCATTATTCTGGTTTCTGATAAAATACTCAGGAGGAGTTTTCTTTCGTAGTTGTTTTTTTTGTTTTGTTTTTGCTTTCTGTTTGTTTTGTAGTAAAGGAAGAGAGAGGTAGGACTTAACTGTTCATTATCAAAGAGTAAATGGGACCCAGGTGCACTGGCTCAGATCTCGTCCCTGTAATTTTAGTTGTCACTACTAGCAACAGAAATTCTTCATAAATTTGTTTGCCCATTTTGTTCAACTGCATTTCCCAAGTTTCTAGAATAATTTTTGTTATATACTCAGTAAATATTTGTTGAATTAATGGAAGAACTATATCCTTCCTCTTCTTCCCTCCTACCTACTCTTCTTCCAGTATTGTGTGAGCTCTGTTGCCAGATACAATGAAAGTGGAGATGTAAGAAGTCATGATCAGCTTGAGAAACATAAATAGTTCATCCTTTTTGTCTGTTTTTAAAGGTAAAAATCCTAGTGAACTGTCCTTTTTTCTCATACTAGGTACTGTAAAATTGCTAGGACTTGTGTTAATGGACATATTTTTGCAAAACCCTTTTTCCAATATTGAAAAAACCTGCAGTAGTTTGATATTTCTTATATTTTAAGTTGGTACTTCAAGGATAATTTTTATAGGAACTGTATTATAAGTGATAGTTAAAATTCTTTTGTACTGTTACCACATAATGATCATTTAGACTTCTTTTGGATCAAAATAAGTTCTGTGAATTGCCTTAAGATTTTTTATATAGCATTGTTTCTTAAGAAAATACAGGATATAATACCTTTATAATAAATAGTAATACTTAAATTCTGTGGATTTAAATGGAAAGAGTCTTCCAGTGTCTTTATTAGCTTATATATTCAATATATTTGGTTCATAATACCTTCATAATTTATTCTTTAAAAAAACTTTTCCCTTATAATTTTATATAACTTTCTAAAGATATTATAATTTGTATTTGTACTGGAGTTATGGTTGATTTACTGTGTGGTTAGTTTCAAATACAGCAAAATGATTCAGTTATATATAAACATATATCTATTCTTTTTCAGATTCCTAGCCCATATAGGTTATTATGAGATAGTGAGTAGAGTTCCCTGTGCTATACAGTTGGTGCTTGTTGACTACCTATGTATAGTACCACATATATGTTAATCCCAAACTCCTAATTTATGCCTCTCACCGCCTTTCCCGTTTGATAGCCATAAGTTTGTTTTTGACATCTGTTTCTGTTTTGTGAATAAGTTCATTTGTATTATTTTTTTAGATTCTGCATATAAGTTATATCATGTGATTTTTTGTCTTTTCTGCATCTTGGTTACTTAGTATGATAATCTCTAGGTCCATCCATGTTGCTGCAAATGGCATTATTTCATTCTTTTTTATTTTGAAGAACTAGTTAGCTTTATTCAAAAATTGAAGAATCAGCTGCACTAGGAGGGGTTGTACAAAATAGATTTTTATGGATAGAAGGAGAGGAGGTGGCAAAAGGTATTAGCGAAGGAAAAGAAAGGATTATTTCAGGCCAGGCTGTCTTATAATGGGGGACTGACACCCCAGGGGCCTGTTTCATGCAGTTACTTCATTAGTACTGATTAGGAAATTTCAGGTAGACTGTTTTAAAGGTCACATCTCTGGGAGGGATTGAAACCATCTTAGTTTTTGCTATGATGGGCAGAAAGGGAAGGAAATGATCCCATTTGGGGCTTGTTATTTCTTTTTCAACAGTGTGATGGTATTATTTTGCATTTCTCTGATGAATAGATATGTAGAGAATATTTTCACATGCTTTTTGGCCATCCGGATGTTCTCTTTACATGAGTTTGAGTAGCTCCGGGAGTTGGTGATGGACAGGGAAGCCTGGCATGCTGCAGTCCATGGGGTCATGAAGAGTCAGACACGACTGAGCTGAACTGATGTTTTGTTTTGAGATGTTCCTTTTTAAATATTTTGCCCATTTAAAAAATTGGGTTATTTACCTTTTTAAAAAAAATCATTATTGGAGTATAGTTGATTTTACAATGTTGTGTTCATTTCAAGTGTACGACAAGGTGAGTGAGTTATGCATTCTTTATGAATGTGAAAGAGGAGAATGAAAAAGCTGGCTTAAAACTCAGCTTTCANTTCAGCCACCTTTATTGATGAAAATCAACCTCCTCTTGATAAGAATGAAAGGTGTAAGAGTTTGCTGCAGCCCTCTAAAATACACAAGAACACCTTCACAAAATACTAGTCAACCTATACTTTGTTTTCTTCCACAGGATAGAGGAAAGGATGCTGTTTACTCATTTGATAACCTGTGATGCTGATTAAAATCAGGAATACAAAATTAAACATTCAGAACTGTAATTACAATACTTAAAGAGTATGTAGTTGTCCTAGAGGAAGAAAAGTGTCCACAAAAGTAGTTTACCTGACCACAGTCCAATATTATTGCCTCTCTTCGTTTGATAAATCATCACCGTCATCTCAGGAAGTCATCTTGGGATCAAAATAGATAGAAATTAATTATACAATATCCATTTTTCAAGATTTTTAAAATTCTGTAAATATTTCTTTTGTGTAATTTGTTTAAAGTTTGTTTAATTTGTTTAAATTTATTTTAGGGAATATAAAGTCTTATAAATACTTTTATAAAAAGTCAATTTCAATCTTATTCTCCCAACCTGATTTTTTTCTACTAGGTCTCTAGTT